CAAGTACTATCCAAACCTCAGAGGAATTAAAATACCAAGTCCCAAAGAACCATGAAAGACCTTCCTAACTAACTTTGAAGGAACCTGCCCTGTTTACAGCACTCCAAAGACCAGGTTGTAGCTCACATGTGTCCACTCTTGAAGATTGCCTTAATCAAAAATGGATTAACCTCAGTGATGAGAAAAAGGATGACTACCAACAGTTTAAAAGATATGAAAATTAATTAATATTCAAAGACATAGAATATTTAGTAGAGATATTCAAAGACATTTCAAGATATGAATATTATTTATTCATTGTTTAATATTATTTGTCATTTAATATATGTATTAGCTAATCTGAGTGTTCCGAGGAAAAGGAGGACAACAAATAATTTAAAACACAAATATTAATTATTAATCACTTGTTTAATGTTTGAGATTATTTTGGATTTTAATTTGATTCATCTGACACTCTTAATATTTTTATTAGCTTTGGTTTTAAATAACCCTAATTGTCAATTAAATGCAAAGGAAGCATACAAGTCAATAATAATTGTAATAAATAATTAAATGATACAAATCTAAGAAACAATTTCATCATCATTTTCCTACTTTTATCATTAAATGTTCCTTAGTATTTAGCTCTGGTCTCAGGATGATAATGTAGCATTTGGGGAAGAAAATGCAGCCCAGGAGTCCAGCACCAGAGGCCAAGATGGAGAAGACCTGAACAGCCACCATGTATTTCCCTTTGGTGCTCAGGTAGGTGGGCAAGAAGGGGACCCAGACATTGCAGAAGACCAGCATGCTGAAGGTGGTCAGCTTGGCTTCATTGAAGGCTCCAGGCAGGTTTCTGTCTAGGAAAGCTACAGTGAAGCAAATGGCAGTCAGGAAACCCATGTATCCAAGGATAACATATTTCTATAGCTTTCTTTATATTGTTCTGATTTTTTAAACTCTATTTTCTTTTCTTGTTGCACGTTTAGCTTTTTCTGTTGCTTCTCTCTTTCTTTTTGGTTCTCTCTATACTGTAGGAAGTTAGCACCCACCCCTTTCCTAGAAGAATGAAATATTTTGGGAAATATTAAAAAGACAGAATATTATGTTTCCCTGGATGAGAAATAGAGAAGCATGTTTTAAAGACGAAGCAGCTCCCATCTTCCTGCCCCCACCCTTTGTCAAGGGGCCAGAGGCAGAAACTCAATCTTTGTCAATGGACCATCATCTGCAACACAATAGGACCCATCTAGCCACAAAACTCACCACACGGCACCTGGGAAGATTACATTAGCCAGCAAGGCTAGCTAAGACTCCCCACCCCCTGGGAGTCTGACAACCAATCAGGATACTCTTTCTGGGTCCCAAGAAGTTCAAAGCCAGAGAGGGCATAAAACCCAGGGACTCACTGCATCTCGGCCCTTTTTCTGTTCAGGAACTCAAACCATGTGATCCTGTCCACCATTACGCTCCTGCGTGAGCTGCACTGGTGGTGGTCTTCCGGGTACACTTCAAGGTGTTGGTTACCACCTTTAAAGCGCTCCATGGCATAGGACCTAGTTATCTTCAAGACCGCCTGCTGCTACCGATGACCTCCCACTGACCTGTGTGCTCCCACAGAAAGGGCCTCCTCGGGGTGCCATCAGCCAAACAATGTAGGCTGGCGATCCCCAGGGGGAGGGCCTTCTCTGTGGGGGCACCTACCCTCTGGAATCAGCTGCCCCCAGAGATAAGGAGAATCCAAGACCTTGGTGCCTTCCGCCGTGCCCTTAAAACTTTCTTTTTTCAGCAAGCCGGGCTGGCTTAACATATTTTTTAAATATTTTTTAATTGGTTTGTCATTTTAAATTGGGGCCAAATTAATATATATCTTTTTAATTGTTTTTAATGTTTGTATTGTATGTTTTTATCTGGCTGTACACCGCCCTGAGTCCCTCGGGAGAAGGTGCGGTATATAAATTCGAAATAAAATAAAAAATAAAATAAATTAATTAAATCATTTTTCCAAGTAGTCTCCATGTTTCCAGTGTCTTTTTCTCCACTTGGAGCTCAACCCAGAAGGATATTTCTTCTTACGATACTAAATAATTAATATTGCTGTTTATTAGGAGAGCATCAACCAAAACTGCAAAGACTTTTACTTGTTTTTTTTTTTCCCCATCCAAGAGATCTATCAGCATTTCCAGCTCCTTCCAAATATCCACCTGAGTTACAATCCATGACAAGTATCTGAATCCTAGAATGATTTGGAATGCTGTGCAGGATCAGCTGTGAAAGCCAATATTCCTAACAATAGCTGTATAAGAGGCAGAGGATCTTTTTCATTCTCCTACATACACATTCTAAACCCAAGAATACACTAAGGCTTGTCCAGAGCAAGGATAAAACACACACAAAATGAGCAATGTGACATATGTAGTACAACGCAGTGAGACATTGCAGAACTGTACATTGGAGAGAAAAAAAATCACTTCATAAACACTTGATACAAAATGAGAGAACAAACCCATTAGGACAAGGTTCAGCAGTCCATCTGCATCGGAAAGGCAAAGATCACACTTTTGAACACGTTCTGGACAGAGAGGACCACTGGTTTGAAAGAGAGGTCAAAGAGGCCATCTACATTAAAACTGAACAATAGAGGGGGAGGGATATGACACCATCCATCTCCTGTTTACAACATGGTCCATTCAGCAGTTCCAAGAAGATTCTACACACATTTCCATTATTCAGATGACCCCAAGGGCACAGATAAACCTCCAAGTGGCCTCAATGGCTCTCAGAAAGAGTGCTAACAACCAGATAGAATAGAATAACAGAGTTGGAAGGGACCTTGGAGGTCTTCTAGTCCAACCCCCTGCTCAGGCAGGAAACCCTACACCACTTCAGACAAATGGTTATCCAACATCTTCTTAAAAATTCCCAGTGTTGGGGCATTCACAACTTCTGCAGGCAAGTTGTTCCACTTATTAATTGTTCTAACTGTCAGGAAATTTCTCCTTAGTTCTAAATTGCTTCTCTCCTTGCTTCTTGTTCTACCCTCAGGTGCTTTGAAGAATAGTTCGACTCCCCCTTCTTTGTGGCAACCCCTGAGATATTGGAACACTGCTATCATGTCTCCCCTAGTCCTTCTCTTCATTAAAAGATGACTGCAGCAAATATAAATCCTTCTTTTCTCCATCATTCAGTCAGCACTGAAGAAGCTTTTTGGATGAAAAATGAAAAGTCTTCAAGGAAAAACACAGAAAGTTCAGTTGCCTTTTTAGAAAGCACATTTGGGATAACCATGATCTGGATTACTGAGAATCTCCATAGACATTATTCACTGAGGTATGGTTGGTCCCTATCCTGCTCCTTTTTTGGAAAGGCCATAAAAATGTGACTTTGACAGTGGGCCTGAGGACCACAAATGGAAATGGAGCTGACCAAGTGCCTAATTTAATTGTATTGTTCTACTATGGGGATAGGGTAGGGTAGAGTTTGTTAATGGTTTTATTGTATAATGGAGTTTTAAATTTTTAAAAAGGTCCTATTCACCTATCTGTGAATTGAGCAGCTATACAAAATTGTTAAATGCATAAAAAGGTAAAGGTAAAGGTTCCCCTCACACATATGTGCTAGTCGTTCCTGACTCTAGGGGGCGGTGCTCATCTCCGTTTCAAAGCCAAAGAGCCAGCATTGTCCAAAGACATCTCTGTGGTCATGTGGCTGGCATGACTAAATGCCAAAGGAGCACGGAACGCTGTTATCTTCTCACCAAAGGTGGTCCCTATTTTTCTACTTATTAAATACATACATCATACATCATACATACATACATACATACATACAGTCATTTCAGTGGGAATAATTGCTGAAGCTTGGAGTCTGTGCACTGCAGAACATGGCACGGGACTGACCTCGTTCAGAATCCTTGACCATTTATCCCACCATTCCTAAGGGAATGCAGTGAGCCTGGTGAGATTCTTGTAACATGGGGGACTAACAATAGCACTTCTATTTGATCCTGTTCATGAGAGGTTCTAATTGCTTGTCCCTAACAAGGCGTCCTGATATAGCCAGCTGATGCCATCGCTGGCTATTGGGGATGAATCACTCGCCCCCACGGAGAGGGCTCGTAACTTGGGCGTCCTCCTGGACGCACGGCTGTCTTTAGAAGATCATTTGATGGCCGTGGCCAGGGGGGCTTTTTATCAGGTTCGCCTGATACGCCAGTTGCGCAGCTTTCTAGATCGGGACTCCCTATGCACAGTCACTCAGGCACTCATCACTTCCCGCCTGGACTACTGCAACACTCTCTACATGGGGCTCCCCCTGGGGTGCACCTGGAGGCTCCAGCTGGTCCAGAACGCGGCCGCACGGGGGATTATGGGGGTGACGAGGCGCTCCCATGTGACACCTCTCCTGTGCGAGCTGCACTGGCTCCCGGTGGTCTTCCGGGTGCGCTTCAAGGTGTTGGTGACCACCTTTAAAGCGCTCCATGGCTCAGGGCCAGGGTATTTATGAGACCGCCTTCTGCCACCAATAGCCTCCCACCGGCCAGTACGCTCACACAGAGTGGGCCTCCTCAGGGTGCCGTCCGCCAGACAATGTCAGCTGGCGACCCCCAGGGGGAGAGCCTTCTCCTGTGGCGGCGCCCACCCTCTGGAACAACCTCCCCCCAGAGATATGTACAATAACAGACCTCCGGATTTTTCGTCGGGCCCTGAAAACCCATTTATTTCAACTAGCTGGGCTGGCTTGAGTTAAATTTTAAACTGATTTTAAATTGGAATTGTTTTAATTACAGCCAAAATATTTAATTATTTTAAACAGTTTTTAGATTTTGTATGTCTTGTTTTTACTTTGGCTGTTCACTGCCCTGTGTCCTATACTGGAGAAGGGCGGTATAGAAATTTAAACAAATAAATAAATAAACATATTTTTTTGATTCCTGTTTACAATCAAAATGAACATAATAAATATCATCATTCAAATAAAAGGAACTTTTCAGTTCTTCCAATATCATAATGGTTTATGTTTCATGTGTTTACATTTAGTCTGCCACTAAGTTGTTCCTTTGTGTTCAGGTCTGGCCTCAGAAGGATAATGTAGCACTTGGGGAGGAAGATGCAGACCAGCAGACCAGCACTGGAGGCCAAGATGGAGAAGACTTGAACAGCCACCATATATTTCCCCTTGGTGCTCAGATAGGTGGGGACAAATGTCACCCAGACACTGCAGAACACCAGCATGCTAAAGGTGATCAGTTTGGCTTCATTGAAGGCCCCAGGAAGGTTCCTAGCCAGGAAAGCCACTGTGAAGCAGATGACAGCCAAGAAGCCCATGTAGCTGAGGGTGATGTAGAACATGGCATCAGACCCTTCGTTGCATTGCAGGATGATTACTTCAGACTGGGAGTGGAGATCAGAGTCAGGGAATGGGGGAGAAACTCCGAGCCAGATGGAACAGATGATAATTTGGACAGCAGAACAAGAAAAGATGATGGAATTGGCCAAAGTTTTCCCTAACCATCTTTTCATTTGGTTTCCTGGTTTTGTGGCCAGAAAAGCCAGCACCACCGTGATAGTTTTCGCCAACACAGAAGATACGGCTACTGAGAACACAATGCTGAACACTGTTTGTCGGAGAAGGCAGGTGGCTTTTCTTGGTTGACCAATGAAGAGAAAAGGAGACAAAAAACAAAGCAGGAGAGAGACCAGGAGGATGTAAGAGAGGTCCCGGTTGTTGGCTTTGACAATGGGAGTTTCTCTGTATTTAATAAATATGATTGAAACGAATCCCGTGGTTAGGAATAATAGTAGGGCAAAAGAGGCCAGAATGATACCCAGATGTTCTTCATAAACCAAAAAGGTTATATCTTTTGGGATACATTGGACTCTCTTCTTATTTGAGTATTGATCGTCTGGGCACTTGGTGCATTTTTCCGCATCTGAGAAAACCAAAAGGATTATTATTATTATTATTATTATTTTTTATTGAAAAAGTTTTTCAAATACAAATTTTTCCCCTTTCCCCCCCCCACCCTAACCCCCCTCCCCCTCCCCTTCCCCTTTGACTTCTTCATAATAAAACCCAAATTCATAACAGATTATATCATACTTTACCATCCACTTACTCCATCTCCATATGCTGACCCTTTCTTTCTAGTAAAATTATCATATCCTCCTTATACTATACTATAATATACATTTCAAAGTGACATTCTATTATAACATTGTCTAATAACTCCTAATTTAACATAATAATGTTATTATATCTCCCAATTTAATGATTATATCCCCCTTATCCTATACTATAATATACATTTCAAAGTGACATTCTATTATAACATTATCTAATAACTCCTAATTTAACATAATAATGTTATTATATCTCCCAATTTAACGATTTCCACTCATGATCTACCCTACTACCCCCCATGCGATATAACATTTCAGAACATACTTCCACTATAAGACTATACAATAAGTCCTAATTTAACATTTATTCAGTTCAGTTACCCATTTCCTTCCCCCCCATCATTATGTCTCTTAGCTCAAATCTTTTACATATATTCACATTTAAACATAATATCCCCCCCTTTTTTTTAAACTAAACAATCAATAACCTAACCTATCTCCACCCACTTTCCTACAAAACTACCATAATTGTTGTTAATATCTTTATTCTTCTGCCCACCCCACTAGAAAAATATTCCCTTATGTAAATAAAATCCTAAAAGAAAAAAAACTTTAGACTTGTAATCCATATAATATCTGCTGTAATGTCTTTCAACTGGATGATAAACTCCATCGCCCACGTTAGGGTAACATCGCATCCTAATTCCAACAGTATTCTCAGTATCTTCAATCACCATCTGCCCCCATCAGTAACAAATATCTTCATATTGCAAAAAAAAAAAAAAAAGAACACAACAACCACCCGAGTGACTTTATATTTATATTCCATATAATGTCTATAGAGGTGTCTTGTATCCAGATTATTAATTCCAACCACCATAATAGGGTAACAACCAGATCTTCTGCGTGCCCCAATCCAGTAAATCTCTTGCCATGTAACTCAGCATACACGTAATATATTTATCAAGAAATCCAAAAAAACAAACAAGATATTTCCAACCATTCGATTTAAGGCCTTTTTCACATCCCAAAGATTTCAGCACTGCAGAGATCTGTCACTCTCTTCAGGATAAAAAAACCAATACTTTGCCCATTATCTTTTCATATATTCAGTCCTCTCATATGTAACTGGCATTACACTGTTGTTTAATTTAAAAGTTTTTGTTTTTGTGGGACCTACTTCTTCTTTTCTTGACTTTTTGTGGGTTGGATCTCCACCCTACATTCCTTTCTGTAGATTGTGTATCGACTATTTGGTTTTCATGCTGATCTATAACTTGATCTCGTTGGTTTTACTTTTGTGGCTGAAATCTTTCTGGTTCTGTAAATTGTATGTCAACTGATTGACTTCCATGCTGATTTGTGGCTTGATACATCATTGCATTAGGGTCCGGAACCGCCTCTCTTATATTAAATAATCCAGCTGAGACCTCTGAGAAAGAATCCGAAAGCGGCTCATCTGTGGAAACCTCTATAACTTGTTGTTTCTTCATTACTTCCATCTCCTTCTGCTTTTCTTGAAGTTCTGTCTCTTGTTGATTTTGCTTTTTAAGGACCTTGTAGTAAAATTCTTCCGCTTTTTCAACAGTATTTAACTGATATCTTACTCCTTGATATCTCAATATTATACCCACTGGGACATCCCACCTGAATGAAATATTTTGTTTCCTTAACTCAGTCACCAAAAGTCCAAATTTCTTTCTATCTCTTAACATCTTAGGCGGCAATTCTTTATATATCCAAATTTTTCTCCCATGCAGTTGTAGAATAGAATTAAAAGATTTTTGCACAATATCATTTCTTATTTCTTTATCTATAAAATAAATCACCACGTCTCTAGGCAGTTGCCTTTGCTTAGCAATCCAAGAATTTACTCTATATGCCTTATCAATTTTACAGAATACCTCCTCAGGATGAACCTTTAAGATCCCAGCCAAAACTTGAGCGGATGTTTTTCTTAGATCATCACTGTTATTTTCCTGCAAGCCTCTGATTCTGATCGCAAATTCTGTAAACTTGTATTGCATCGTTACAACTTCTCTTTCAATTCCTTGCTTTATATCTTCTGCATTATAAGTCTCGTAACCAGCTTCCTCTTTAGACTTTACTTCTAAACTATTGTCTTGAATATTTATTAAATCCTTTTCAATTCTTAATATTTTATTGTCCAAATTATAAATCTTATCATCAATTTTCTCCATTTTAGACTCTAACAATTTAATATTTGTATCCAACTTTATAACAATTTCTGAAAAACCATTAGTCACTGTCACAATCTTTTGTTGCAAATTATCATACTTTAGTTGTATCATTTCTTTAATTTCCTGCCTTAATTTTTCAAATTTCTGGTTCACAGTCTCATAATATTTTGCCATTTCCTCCTGAATAAATTCTTTTAAATTAAAACCATTCTGCAGAGTCTGTAAGCTCAGAGCTTGTTCAAACAGTTGTGAGTGGGGGAGCACCTCCCCTTCTTGTCTATCAGGCTTTATTAGTAACGCCATCCTGCCAGCAAACTTTTTTTTTTCTCCAAACAAGATCAAGTACAAATCTCCAAGGAGAGAGGAACTTAAAATAACTAATTTTCTTCCAAGTTGTAGCCAGCACTATATATTCCGCTACTTTATATCTGTTATGGAAGGATTATTATTTTTTAAATAACCTCTCCTTTCACAGTTCAGGAGTCATTGGATACAAAATGGTTGACAAATAAATTTCATAATCAATCAATAAAATTAGCTTCTTGGGACAACAGCTGATACCACAAACATTTTCCAAGATGTATGTCTTAGTATCTTACCAGAAAAAAAGATATACAGTCAGGTCCAGAAATATTGGGACATCGACACAATTCTAACATCTTTGGCTCTATATACCACCATAATGGAGTTGGAATGAAACAAACACAATGTGCGTTAACTGCAGACTGTCAGCTTTAATTTGAGGGTATGTACATCCAACTCAGGTGAACGGTGTAGGACTTACAGCAGTTTGCATATGTGCCTCCCACTTGTTAAGGGACCAAAAGTAATGGGACAGAATAATAATCATAAATCAAACTTTCCCTTCTTAATACTTGGTTGCAAATCCTTTGCAGTCAATCACAGCCTGAAGTCTGGAACGCATAGACATCACCAGACGCTGGGTTTCATCCCTGGTGATGCTCTGCCAGGCCTCTACTGCAACTGTCTTCAGTTCCTGCTTGTTCTTGGGGCATTTTCCCTTCAGTTTTGTCTTCAGCAAGTGAAATGTATGCTCAATGGGATTCAGGTCAGGTGATTGACCTGGCCATTGCATAACATTCCACTTCTGTCCCTTCAAAAACTCTTTGGTTGCTTTTGCAGTATGCTTTGGGTCATTGTCCATCTGCACTATGAAGTGCCGTCCAATGAGTTCTGCAGCATTTGGCTGAATGTGAGCAGATAATATTGCCCAAAACACTTCAGAATTCATCCTGCTGCTTTTGTCAGCAGTCACATCATCAATAAATACAAGAGAACCAGTTCCACTGGCAGCCATACATGCCCACGCCATGACACTACCACCACCATGCTTCACTGATGAGGTGGTATGCTTAGGATCATGAGCAACTCCTTTCCTTCTCCATACTCTTCTCTTCCCATCACTCTGGTACAAGTTGATCTTGGTCTCATCTGTCCATAGGATCTTGTTCCAGAACTGTGAAGGCTTTGTTAGATGTTGTTTGGCAAACTCTAATCTGGCCTTCCTGTTTTTGAAGCTCACCAATGGTTTACATCTTGTGGTGAACCCTCTGTATTCACTCTGGTGAAGTCTTCTCTTGATTGTTGACTTTGACACACATACACCTACCTCCTGGAGAGTGTTCTTGATCTGGCCAACTGTTGTGAAGGGTGTTTTCTTCACCAGGGAAAGAATTCTTCGGCCATCCACCACACTTGTTTTCCATGGTCTCCCAGGTCTTTTGGTGTTGCTGAGCTCACCGGTGCATTCCTTCTTTTTGAGAATGTTTCAAACAGTTGTTTTGGCCATGCCTAATGTTCTTGCTATCTCTCTGATGGGTTTGTTTTGTTTCTTCAGCACAATGATGGCTTGCTTCACTGATAGTGACAGCTCTTTGGATCTCATCTTGAGAGTTGACAGCAACAGATTCCAAATGCAAATAGCACACTTGAAATGAACTCTGGGCCTTTTATCTGCACATTGTAATTGGGGTAATGAGGGAATATCACACACCTGGCCATGGAACAGCTGAGAAGCCAATTGTCCCATTACTTTTGGTCCCTTAACAAGTGGGAGGCACATATACAAACTGCTGTAAGACAACATTGGCTCCCTTGGCCAAGAAACAGAGATTAACACCATCCATTAGAGTTGGACATGACTGGACAGAGGAAACCTTTACTTTTACCTAAGTTTGGTTCGGATGATGAAATGCAATGGATCTAAGACAATTCCTCAAGTTTCAAAGAACTCAGAAGTTCCTAAAAGGTAAACATGGAAAGGAACACCCGAACAAATAAATGGAAGAGATATTTTTCTCAGACAGTGGTAAAGTTCAACCTATCTGCCACATCTATCTCTTCTCAGATCTTTCTTCAAGTTTTTGCCATTCTTCCCTTTAGATGGGATAGGAAATTATGCAGTTTGAAAATAAACAAGGAAACAATATGACTTTTAATGAAAATGCTCTGGATAAATCCATTTCAACAAAATCCACCTTTCCTCAGGTGTTACTCACCTTCCTGAGTGGAGATGGTCCCCTCTGGACAAGGAATGCAGTCATAGCAGCAAACTGGCTCTCCTTCCCGAGCTCGCTTGACAAATCCAGGATGACAATTTTCCACACATTTGGAGTGAGGCAGAGACTAAGCAGAAATAGAAAAAAGCCAGAGTTAATATGTTAGGACGCACTGATGTGAGTATTTCTAACTAGGGCTTCAGAGATTTGCAAGTGTAGACTCATATTTCTCATATTTTACATGGAAATGAAATATTGTTGTGCTTTGTAAAGTTTTCAGGGACAGAACGAAAAAGGGTTCAGCATTTACTAACAACCTGTGGGTTCCTATTGAATTCTGGTTCAATATGCATTCCTGCATTCTTAAGGTACACTTGAAGTTAAAATATGTATTCATTTCATTTTTCATTTCATTTTATTAAATTTGTATACCGCCCTACTCCCGAAGGACTCAGGGCGGTGAACAGGCACGAACTAAAACACATAAATACAAAAGTTAAGACATGATTAAAACCCAATTAAATAATTTTTGCCTGAGACAATTTAAAACCCCCAATAATTTAAAACAAATTAAAATTTGAGTTTAAAAATTTAGAAGAAGGGGAAAAAATTAGGCCAGGCCGGCCTGCTGGAATAGGAGTGTCTTCAAAGCACGGCAGAAAGTGCGCAGATCAGGGATCCTACGTATCTCCGGGGGGAGCTCGTTCCAGATAGTAGGTGCCCCCACAGAGAAGGCCCTCCCCATAGGGGCCGCCAGTCAACATTGTTTGGCTGACGGCACCTGGAGGAGCCCCTCTCTATGAGAGCATACCGGCCGGTGGGAGGCTGTTTGTGGTAGTAGGCGGTCCCGTAAGTAGCCGGGTCCCAAGCCATGGAGCGCTCTAAAGGTGGTAACCAAAACCTTGAAGTGCACCCGGAAGACCACCGGGAGCCAGTGCAGCTCGCGCAGGAGAGGTGTCACATGGGAGCGCCATGTTGCTCCCATAACCACCCGTGCAGCCGCACTCTGTGCCAGTTGGAGCCTCCGGGTGCTCCTCAAGGGGAGCCCCATGCAGAGAGCATTACAATAGTCCAGGAAGGACGTAACGAGGGCATGAGTGACTGTGTATAGGGAGTCCCGATCCAGAAAGGGACGCAACTGGCGAATCAGGCGAACCTGATGAAAAATCCTCCCAGTCACGGCCGTCAAGTGCTCTTCTAAAGACAGCCGTGAGTCCAGGAGGATGCCCAAGTTGTGAGCCCTCTCCGTGGGGGCCAGCGATTCACCCCCAATAGTCAGCGATGGCGTCAACTGAGTATATTGGGACATCGGAAACCACAGCCACTCGGTCTTGGATGGGTTGAGCCTGAGCCTGTTCCTCCCCATCCAGATCCGCACGGCCTCCAGACACCGAGACATCACTTCAAGGGCATCGTTGGGGTGGTCCGGGATGAAGATGTACAGCTGGGTGTCATCAGCGTACTGGTGGTACTTCACCCCGAAACCACGGATGATCTCACCCAGCGGCTTTACATAAATGTTGAACAAAAGGGGCGAGAGGACCGACCCTTGTGGCACCCCACATATGAGGGGCCTCGGGGTCGACCTCTGCCCCCCCTGCCAACACAGACTGCAACCGGCCGGATAGAAAGGAGGAGAACCACCGCAACACAGTGCCCCTAACTCTTCCAACCGGTGCAGCATGATACCATGGTTGATGGTATCAAAAGCCGCTGAGAGATCTAACAGGACCAGGACAGAGGAGCACCCCCTGTCCCGAGCCCTCCAGAGATCATCAACCAATGTGACCAATGCCATTTCCGTGCTGTACCCAGGTCTGAAACCTGACTGGAACGGATCCAGATATGTTGTCTCATCCAGGGGAAACTGTTGCGCAACCACACTCTCGACAACCTTCGCCACAAAACGAAGGTTGGAGACCGGACGATAATTAATCAACATTGCCGGGTCCAGGGAAGGCTTCTTGAGGAGAGGCCTCACCACCGCCTCTTTCAAGGCGGCGGGGAAATCACCCTCACCCAAGGAAGCATTTATAATCCCCTGGAGCCAGCCTCACGTCACCTCTCGGGAAGCCAGCACTAACCAGGAAGGACACGGGTCCAATAAACAAGTGGTTGCATTCAGTCTGCCCAGAATCCTGTACATGTCCTCAGGGTTCACAGGATCAAACTCATCCCAGATAATGTTCTCAAGACCTGCCCCAGTCCCTGAGACTACCCAGTCAGAGTCCAGATCTTCCCGAATCTGAGTGATTTTGTCATACAGACACTGAACAAAATCCTCAGCTCTACCCTCCAAGGGGTCCTCCCGTGCTTCCTGGTGGAGCAGGGAGCAGATCACCCTAAACAGGGTGGCCGGGTGGTTATCTGATGACGCAATAAGAGCAGCAAAATAACTACATTTCACTGCTTTTATTGCCACTAGGTAATTCCTAATATGAGATCTTACCAGTGTCCAGTCCGATTCAGAAAGACTGGCCCTCCAACTACACTCTAGGCGTCTTTTCCGGCGCTTCAACTCCCTCAGCTCCTCAGTGAACCAAGGAGCCAAATGAGATCGGCGCTGGGTCAGAGGCCGCAAAGGCACAACCCGATCCAGAACTCCAGCGGCTGCCCTATCCCAGGCGGCCACTAGGTCTCCAGTCGATGCGTGTCAGAGCCTCGGGAAATGGCCCAAGCTCCATCTGGAACCTATCAGGTTCCATCAGGTGCCTGGGGCGGAACCATTTTACCAGCTCCGCCTCCCTGCGGCGGGGTGCAGCGGTTCGAAGGTTGAGATGAAGGAGAGAGTGATCTGACCATGACAAGGGCTCGGTAACTATATCCTCTATCTCAAGATCACTCAGCCACTGTCCAGAGACAAAAACCAGATCCAGCGTGTTCCCCCCCGTGTGGGTAGGGCCATGAATTAACTGAGTCAGGTCCATGGCTGTCATGGAAGCCATGAACTCCCGAGCCACCTCAGATGTCTCACCCACAGACAGCAGATTGAAATCCCCCATGACCATAAGCCTGGGGGTATCAACCGCCACTGCGGCGATGACGTTGAGTAGCTTGGGCAGGGCTGTTGCCACGTGGCAGGGAGCCAGGTACGTGATCAGCAAACCCATCTGAACCCCATGACCCCATTTCACAAAAAGGGATTCACAGCCGGCTGTCTGAGGAACAGTGGCCTCCCTCGGTCTCAGACCTTCTTTAATAATAACCGTTACTCCCCCGCCCCTGCCCTGTAACCTCGGCCGATGGAATGCGAGGAAACCTGGTGGGCACATCTCGACGAGGGGGATCCCCCCCTCCTGGCCCAACCAGTTCTCTGTAATACCCGCCAGGTCCGCTCCCCCCTCACAAATAAGATCACAAATGAGGGGGGCTTTATTTACTACGGACCTGGCATTGCACAGCATCAGCCGAAGGGTAGGGTCCTGAGGGTCTGTGCAACCTGGGGAATGGGTGGAGCCTTGGGGGCCGGAGCATGTCACCACTTGTAAACAGCGGGTACGTGCTCCCTTGACTCAATATGGCCCCCTGATTCTGCCGTACCTACCCCTCCCACTCATGGTAATGATGTTCAGAACACTATCTGGACAAACTATGACTCCCCCCTCGACCCCGAGATCCCCACCTCCCACGCCGTGCTTCCTTGCCAGGCCTGCCCCTCCCCTTTGTGGGCTATCCCCCATACCCACAACCCGCATTCCAATCAAACCCTCCCCCTCCCTAGAATCCCTTAAAAAATTTACAAAAATTTTTGATATAAAACCTCTCAACCCTCTAGTTTTTGCATGCCACCCCTCGGGGTTCCAAAGCCCGTCATCGAGGTGGGCCCTCGATAAAGTGGAGGGCCAAACTTGCGAGAGGGGGGAGTCTAGCAATGCTAGCAGGTCGGCTTTCTTGTACGTCATTGTACGTCCGAGTCCAAGGTGGAAAGAGGGCCAGTCCAGGGTTCATAGTCCAGAGAGACCCTTCAGGGTACAGATGGATTTCATAGAATTTCATAGAATTTCATAGAGCTGGACTCCACTGTCCTCTCACGACAGGGAGAAGGTCCAATGTCCTTTCCACTCCAACGGGGCAATGATCAAGCCACCCTCTCACGCTGGCTGGTCTCACTGGAGATAGTCATACCAGGGGTGTTACTACAGCTCCTTTGCTGGAGTAGAAATGGATCCCTCAGCTCCCCCATAGTCTCTCTATCTGGCTAAGGCGTAGGTGAAATGAAAAATAAGGGGGAGGTCCCGCGTGATTATTCTGGAAACAGTCCTGCGGGGGGGGGGGGCAGGGGGGAGGGTGAGAGCAATATCCCCAGACGAGGATAACAACATCACCTCCTCCGCCATGTAGTTAATCTTGGCCACCATCATGCTGTCATATCTCGGCTACAGTCATCCACTGCTGCTGCCTCGGATCCACCACCTCCAGTGGCGGGGGGAGGGGGGGCCATCATCCAATGTCCCAGCCACCCACCTCGAGCAGCCCGAATATCAGGGGAAGCAGTTTCAAACAAACTAAACTCCCCGACTGCTGCCATCCTCGCCACCATTCTCCCTTGCATGGCGCTTCCACGCGCCTCTCCAACGCCAGCCGCCCGCACCAACCGTGATGTTCTGGGGGGCGTAAAAGCCCTCCCCAGGCTGGGCAGGAGCTCTTCTCACCGGGGGCTGGGGCCGTAGATGTTTTACCGGCCCTTAAACCCCTCGGCGTGGTTGACTGCCGCCCTCTCCTTCACACGGCGCTTCCACACGCCTCTCCAAATGTGCTTCTCCAAACGCCGGCTCCCGCTCCAGCCGTGATGCTCCGGAGGGTGTAAAAGCCCTCCACAGGCTGGGCAGGAGCTCTTCTCGCCGGGGCTAGGGTCGTGGATGTCTCTAACGACCCCTAGACCCCTCGGCATGGCCCAAAACCACCCCGTCTCTCTCGGGAGCTACCCGGTCGCCGTCATCTTTGCGCAGGTTGCTTCTTGTATTGATGTTAAGTTTAATTTAAACTTCTACAATTTTTTAAATCATGTTTTTTATTTATTTATAAATGAATATTTTGAATACAGTGTATTGTCCGGGAATATCATTTTACAAAAGACAAGAAAGAAAAACAACAACACATATACCAATAGTAATAATAATAATAATACAACAGAATAATTCTAACCATATTTATAATTATATTCACTTATTTCTGTTCCTATTAATTATATTAGCTATTTGAAATTATAAGCAACATTCATATTTTACTTAAATGTAACAATGCTCTTTCTTCATCTAATTTCTATTTCTTATCTCTAGCCATTGATAAAACCTATTCTACATTAAATAATATTCTGTGTCTCCTTTATCTTTAATTTTCAATGTCAATCTATCCATCTCTGCACAATCCAATATTTTCTGGATTATATTTTCATCTGGTGGGGTGTTTGCATTTTTCCAATATTGTACAAATACAATTCTTGCTGCTGTCAATACATGTAACATTAAATACATAGTCCCTTTGTCATAACTTTCTGGTATTATACCTAACAAAAAAAATTCTGGTTTTAAATCTATGTGTTGTTTAATCATCTTCTCCAACCATGTGTGTATTTTTGTTCCATATTTTCTTGCCTTCATACATGTCCACCACATATGAAAATAAGTACCTGGAGTCTGATTGCATTTCCAACATTTGGTGGACATGTTGTTAAACATTTTTGCTAGTCTTGCCGGTGGCGATTCTACAATTTTATAATAGAAAATTTTATCTGTGATAAGGAGAGTATCTTCTGACCAAGAGGATCATCAAATATACCTTGCAGATTTCATAAATCATTGCGATGACTTCCTCTTTTGAAGTCATATAACACAACCCTTCTCCCATGAGGTTCTCCAGTTAAGATGCAAAAGAAAATTTCCTTATAGCATCATCAGTCTTAGTGGAGATTTTATTTTATTCTATTCTTTCCATTTATATAGCTGTTATCTTGGTAAAATAATAAAGAGTAAAACTGACTGCATTCCTTTGTGCTGCAGGAATTGGGACACAAGAAGGAGTCTTGTCTCAGAAAGATATATTTCAAAGGCACTGCTTGATAGATCAAAGTCCTTTCAGATCAAGAACTATAGCTAGGCAACACTAACCAGTATGTAAAGACAGTCCCATATTTATAACTAGTTGAATTTAGAGCTTTCTTTTGCCTTGAGGTGACTTAAGGCAGATAATAGTACAGATAAACTCAGTACAAATCAAAATAGGCCAATGGAGTCCTTTAGAGGGACACTTTCATTCAAGGGGGCTTCAATTTTAATTCCTCTTACAAGCCAAAGGCCAAATCAAACCAGCATTTTCCTTCAAATTGTCTGACATTATTTTAGATAACAGGCTTGGCTTTTCTTTGGGTCAAAGTCATGTTTCAGGGCTTCAATTTTCTGAATGAGGGTTCTATTATAGTTAATTATTTCAGGTGAACGGAAACCCTTGGATCTCCTTCGTAGGAGCAGAAGGCCTATTGCTATTCAAACTGGTGTGAATGTGGCTTTCCTCCCCATGTTCTGAGTGTAGGTCACCCACATTGGTGATTAGGCTCAGCCTACTTGAAATGGGTCTGGTCTTAAGACTGTAAAACAGAGAAAAGAAGATTAATAGTTTCCAAACCTTCCTGAGTAACTTCAGCTGTGATAGAGTCTTTCCGTTGATAGTAAGTTTCTGTCTTTCAAAAGTCCCCAGTTGCTTTTCAATGAAGTGCTCATTGTGCATAACCACTGAACTTATGATGTTCAGGTCAGCTGCTAGATCTCCATTTGGGTCCAGATAAAGTTTCTCCTGTGAAATATTGCAAAACACATTCTTGTCCAGGAAGTGATGAAACTAGAATGAAAAAAATCCAGTAATTAAAAAGAAAAAAAAGAAAACTAGGTTTCTAATCCTAACTTGGTTTTTAGACATTTAAATTTTCTACTGTTGTCTAAGTTGCAAATATTCTTAGATGAGAGAGAAACTATTGCTCTATCTTCAAAAGCAATTACAATAAAAAAGATTCAGAAAAATACAGATTTCTCAATCCGGTATAAATTTATGAGAAAACTCTAGAGCAGATCTTAAAGGAATCATTCTTAAAATTGAAGACAACGAGGTAATTGCTAAAAGCTGACGATTTGGGAGATCAAAGTTCATGAGGCTAATCTCCCTTTTTTAAAAAATCAGATCATTTTCTTAATAGATTGTGGGAATGTTGTTGATAGAATACATTTTGATTTTTGCAAAGCTAGGAGTCAAGATGGTAAAACAATGCAGAGGAGAAAGCTGGTAGCCAGGCTTATGCTGGACCCAAGAACACTTCTCTGGGCAAGGAGAAAGCTGTTGAGATTGCCCATCTATGTTCCAAAAGACTGTTCTTTGAGGGATCCATAGGGATTTTATCAGCTGCTCTTTAGAGTGCTGAGAACTTTGGAGGGCAGCCACCTCCAAACCTCAGATGAAGACTGTTTACTGACTTTGGACTCACCAAGGCTACTGTCCAAAGCACATTTCTTTGAGAAAGAATGTATATTAAATAGAGATCTTCAATACAATAGAAAAAATAATACTACCCTGGTGAGAGAACCTTCAGTTCTTGGGAAGAAATAGGATATAGTTTCTATTTTTTTTCCATATGCACAATTAAAAGGAAGAGTTATTAAAAAAATAACTAGAATTGAAAAACATAAAACAGAATATGGAATGGAATTATATACAACTGATCAGCATGTAAGAGCAAAGATGTATAACTTTTTGTTAAAGTTTGAAACCTGAAGGATAGGTTAAGGATTGCATGATAACATGGACTGCTATTTTTGGTCATAATATTTAGATGGATAAATGAGAGAGAATGTAACTTGTATTGAATTCATACTGTGAAATAAGAGAATTTTAAAATTAAATTAAATTATGTATCATTGGAATCTGGTATTGTTAGCATTTGGTATTATTATGTATCAAATGACACTAGAAAAATATCAAAGAGGTATAGAGATAGCTCAAGTCAATGCTGGATATTGAGAAAGATGAAGGGACTTTTCAGCCTGCATAAACTTATGAAAAAGCCAAAAAAAGAAAAAAGGAAACAAATATCTATGAAATATACAAAGAATTTTGCAGCTTACTGTTCTAAAAAACCCACAATTCTTTTATTGGGATTTAAAGAGAATTAACTATCAAAGACCTATGGAAAATCGACTCATTTAGGATAACTGCAGCAATACTAATATACACAAGTGGTGGAAGAATATTGAAATTCCTCCAAATTCAGGAATTGATTGTGAAATTGTCAGAATTTGCACAAATGGCAATATTTCCTTTTGGTCAGGGAGAAAAAAAAAACTTTTTTGAATGACTGGAAACATTACATGGACTCTGTTGAAGGAAGAAACAAATGAAATGATGCTTTATGGATTTGATGATTGAAGACAATGTGGATTGAATAAGATGTTGAAGGGATTTATATAATATCTAAGAGAGAAATCAGAGGATAATTGCAGAAACTGCAGAAAACTGCAGAAAAAACAATTGCTACCAACCTGCCTTCCATTGAGGACTTGTATACTGCACGAGTCAAAAAGAGGGCTGTGAAAATATTTACAGACCCCTCGCATCCTGGACATAAACTGTTTCAACTCCTACCCTCAAAACGATGCTATAGAGCACTGCACACCAGAACAACTAGGCACAAGAACATTTTTTTCCCAAATGCCATCACTCTGCTAAACAAATAATTCCCTCAACACTGTCAAACTATTCACTAAGGCTGCACAACTATTAATCTTCTCATCATTCCTATCACCCATCTCCTCCCACTTATGACTGTATGATTATAACCTTGTTGCTTGTATCCTTAGGATTTATATTGACTGTTTTCTAATATGATTTGATTGCTTATTTGTACCCTATGAGTATCATTAAGTGTTGTATCTTATGATTCTTGATGAATGTATCTTTTCTTTTATGTACACCGAGAGCATATGCACCAAAGACAAATTCCTTGTGTGTCCAATCACACTTGGCCAATAAAGAATTCTATTCTATTCTATTCTATTCTATTCTATTCTATTCTATTCTATTCTATTCTATTCTATTCTATTCTATTCTATTCTATTCTATTCTATTCTATTCTATTCTATTCTAAGCTTGTAAATGTTTATTGAAAGGAAGGTTGGATAGAATTTATTCTTGAATAAAATTCTTGAATTTTACTTTTGCCATTTGCTCTTTTGGATTTATCTTTTACTGTACAAAACAATTTTAATAAAATGTATAAGCAAAAACTACAGAGTGTAGGATATGGGAATATTAGCTTAATTACAAGAAAGCAGATTCTGCCTAAATACTAGGAAAAACATATCAGAAGGAAGAGCATCTTGATGGTGAACCAGAGAAGTTCAGTCTCCCTTTCACTGAAAGGCTTCATGGCAGCCATAAGTCAACAAGGCTTTAACTGGGATTCCTGCAGAGTAGAGGGGCTAGATGTTCTCAGCTGCTACATCAACCTTATTCATGCAAAATAACTTTAACATTGTATCATGTCAATTATACAGAATATTTTTTTAAAAAATATAGATATATCTTTTTTAAAAAAATATTACAGTATTTAGCATCATGATATATGATTACCGGACACAAACAAGCAAAACTATCTGCAGTTGTTGAAAACAGTGGCACAATGGGGAAATAATCAGCAAAACCTAAAGAGATGTTTAATGCTCTCCTTCCCAACCCTTGAACTCCCCAGATTTGACTCACGACCATTGAGTAGAGAGAATTGGACAAGGAAGCAGTGGGTCAAAAGAAGGAGCAGATGGTGGCAGAAAAGCAGAAGGGGGTTGAGAAGATTCCCCTCCCTCTTCCTTTGGATTCCTGCTCAGAAAGAACTAAGTTTAATGGATCCGTGTCAAAGTCCCATACCTGCCATGGCTGCAGCATTGGAGCCACCAAACTTTCTTGGCCCTTGTTCCTTCTCCTCCCGGATCTGGAGGAATATGCAACATTCAAGGCATGTGCCACAGTCTTAACAACACTATAGCTACGGTGTTCATTTACAATCCAGATTCCCTTCCTTTCCTGTAGGTTGTCCAATGGTGCTTTTTCAATGCATCGTCTCCGGCCTTTCACAGAATAGACATGCTTGGAAAAAGAACAGTTAAAAGCCTTTTCTTTGAAATCTCTGTTAAAAATGTAAACATTTTGAAAAGAATCATTTTTCTGCCTTTGCTTTGTCTGGATAAGAAAGGACCAAATACTGTGGATGTACTGCAAATATTCTTTAATGTGTTGCCATGCAAATGTAAGTTCCCATAAGGCTGTGGTGATCCAGACTTTTCCTTCAATGGGTTCTGGCAGGCATTGTAGTGTGTCATGTACAACCATCATTCCTTGTTCGAGCCAACCCTTTTCTACAAAGTAAACAAAGACATTGGCTTGTCTCCACTTAGAGAGGCCATCAATGAATAGCAACATTCTACTTGCAATCATTGAGAACTTACGTGACACAACAACACAAATACCATTCTTGACAAGCGTAGGGGTCAAAGTCCTCATGAAAACCTCTCCCTCCTCTGTGTCTGTAGTAAAGACACCAACCAAGGTCCATTTGAAATGGAGGAGCAGTTGGATAATTGCTTGGTACTGGATTCCTTCTTTGGGAACCATGCGGTGGAAAAAGGGGAATTGACTGTTATCATTCAGAGTGTCTGAAACACTTTTAAAAGTGATCTGTAAAAGAAAGGAAGAACGTTGTGTTTTATTGAAGCCAGATCAAGACCAAAATATTAGACTTGAATGAATCTGACTTGGTCTTATAATTATGTCCAGAAATCTTAGATTTGTTTAATAAATGGTAACAGGATGATATAGCCATTTACAATGTGATTTAATATGTGTCATAGCTCTGTCTCTCCTTTTCATCTCTTGCATACTCATGAAGATGCAGTAGAAACCCCATAATTTATGGGGATGCTCTCATGGGGAGCTTTGATCCTTGCCCATTTTCCACTGTAGAGCCCCAATCTATAGCTATGACACCAACAATGACCACAATGAAAAACAGTTCTGAAATTTCATGGAGAAGATGAATCTGGAGTTATCACTCACTCACTACCAACTCATATAGCTACACTGTCAAATGGATACATTTAGAAATGGATACACTCTCACACAAACCTGTGGGATTTTGTAGCTGGCTACCACAGTGGATATCTGCAAAGAGATGTCATCATCACTTTTATCAAGAAGAGCCAAAAGGTTGTCCTTTCTTCCACAATTGAAGTTGGGAATATTGACTTCTCCAATAGAGAGCATGTCCAGCAAGGCATCTGAAGTCACAATAGAGTTCATATAGTTGTCATGGATATTGTAGCCAAGAGTGAGATTGCGTAAGAACTGGTGGTTCTTGTTGATTTCTTGACTGGCCAAAATGAAGGGTAGGATTTTCGAATAATCAGTTTTTCCTTCACTGTAATCAAATGTGTTCATCGTCATCGTCATCATCATCAATAATCTGTATTGAATTTATTCTTGTTTGAGTCCATAATTTTTTTGGCTTAAACCAGGGCTGATCCAAAACCAAAGGCAAAATTAAATGCTCACTGCTGAGAAGATGGAGAAGAGATACTCCTCCATCAGATTAATAACAACAACAAAAACAACAACAAATATATTATTATTATTATTATTATTATTATTATTATTATTATTATTATTATTATTATTATTATTATTATTATGTAATATAACTAATTTTCATCTGCCCAAAATCTTTGGATTAAGAAGCTTCAAGTTTGAACTGGTATGCTAAATGATACCAATAGATAGTAATTGATACAAAGATGATGGAAGGAATATTGTGAAGTACTGTACAGTAGAGATGCCAATAACCAAGATAGTTAGAAGATACCGTAAGAAACTCTAGTACTAGCTCCATCCTTTCGAGGTAGGTAAAATGAGGACCCGGTTTGTGGGGGCAATAAGCTGACTTTGTATAAAAAAGAACACCGCTTTGGGGGGGGGAAGCCCTACTAAGCAGGTATATACAAAAGTATAAAGGCTATTGCTTAACACATTGTAAGTCACCCTGGGTCTCCGGAAAAAGGCAGCATATAAATCGAACCAACAAATAAATAAATAAATAAATAAATAAATAAATAAATAAATAAATAAATAAATAAATAAATAAATAAATAAATAAATAAATAAATAAATAAATAAATAAATAGCTGATGAAGTTAGATCATCACTTCAGTCATGGCCAACTCATAATACTACAGAAACTGATGGAATATCCATAGTTATGCCAAGCAACAGACAAAGAATCTGTTAAGGAATCTGGAGAATGACATAATGGCCAACTGATGGGAAGAAGTCAATCTACTTTCCAAGAGGGGTGGGTGGGAAAGAGGTTTAACAGTGAACAAAATATCATACAATATCCTGAATTTCAAATGGTAGCAAAATGATGCTTAGAATCATCCAATATTCTAATGGAAATGGAAAAAGAGATGCCATATGTCCAACTTGGCTTCCAAAAAGGCCATGAAGAATCATGAAATATTACTGCTGATACATGCTGAATAATTGAGAAAGCCAAAGAATACCAAAGAGAACTCACAATGCATATTTATAAAAATATTGTTAACTGTGGGTCACATCAAGCTATGGGATGTCCTGACAAAAGTGGGAATTCTAAAACATCTTCTCATCCTCATGAGGAATTCAGGAAGCCTCACTACAGACAGAAGATGGCAAAAGAGATTGGGGCTCCAGGATGGCAAAGGAATGCAACGAGACTGAGTGTTTTCCTTTATTTATACAGCCTATATATTGAATCTCTATGTTAAAAGAAGCTGTATTGGAATAAAATGAGCATGGATTTAAAACCGAAGGAAAAATGAAACATCAGTAACCTGACACTACCCTGAGAGACACAAATACAAAGGACCAGAAAGCTTAGTAATAAAAGCCAAGAAACAGTATGAAAAAATGGGACTACTACCTCCTACAATACTAGACAACACAGTATCAACAGTAGAGTTCTTCACGTTTTTAGGTTCTATCATCTGAAGACTTAAAATGGACATCAAAAACATCATCAAAAAAGCACAACAAAGAATGTTTTTTCTGAGCAAATTCAGAAAGCTCAAACTGCCCAAAGAGCTCCTGATTCAATTCTACAGAGGAATTATTGAGTCTGTCATCTGCACCTCCATAACTGTCTGGTTTGGCTCTGCAACCCAACAAGACAAACACAGACTTCAGAGGATAATTAGAACTGCCGAAAAAACAATTGCTACCAACCTGCCTTCCATTGAGGACCTGTATACTGCATGAGTCAAAAAGAGGGCTGTGAAAATATCTACAGACCCCTCACATTCTGGACATAAATTGTTTCAATTTCTACCCTCAAAAAGATGCTATAGGGCACTGCACACCAAAACAACTAGACACAAGGACAGTTTTTTCCCGAATGCCATTACTCAGCTTAACAACTAATTCCCACAACACTGTCAAATAATTTACTAAGACTGTATTATTGTTATTATTCTCTTCCTTACTAGTATCTATCTCTTCCCACTTATTACTATAACCATGGTGCTTGTATCTTTCAATTATATTGTTTTTATTTGTTTCCTAGTATGATTTGATAGCTTATTAGTAACCTTGACTATCACTAAGTGTTGTATCTTTTTATTCTTGATGAATGTATTTTATTTTCCTTATGTACACTGAGAGCATATACATCTAAGTCAAATTCCTTCTGTGTCCAATCACACTTGGCCAATAAAGAATTCTATTCTATTCTATTCTATTCTATTCTATTCTATTCTATTCTATTCTATTCTATTCTATTCTATTCTATTCCTAAATATGTAGACAAATTTGGCAGTGAAGAAGTGTTGGAGAGCTTCTGCCTTTTAGGATCAACCATCAATAAATAGAAAAGGAACAAGCAGCCATGAAAAGTGCTGCAGATTAGCATTTGGAAGAGCATCCATGAAGGAAAAGATACCCAAATGCTGTGATGTGTCCAAACCTACAAATGTCAGAATCGTGGAATCTGTGAAATTCCCAGTGTGACTGTATGAGCATTGATGCTTTGAACTTTGGTGTTGGTGAAGATTCCTTAAAAAAATCTATAGACCGGCGGGGGGGAACCAACAACAATGAATCATATAACAAATCAACCCAGAATTCTCACTTGAGCCACAAATGACCAGTCTTAAATTTTCCTAGTTTGGACACATTGTGTGAAGTCCTATTTCTTTAGAGAAGACTGTGAAGCTGGAAAAGATGAAATGAAAGAGAAGAGAATCACCAGCAATAAGGTGGATGGACGGTTAAGGTAGCAAAGGGTGAACCAATGAAAAACCTAAGGATTAGGTTAGGGACAGATTGTCATAGCAAATATTTATCTATGAGGTCTCTAAGAGACATGTGTTCCATCACTTTATTATTTATTTAATTATTTGTTATTAATTATTTCAAAACAATCAGACCATTCAAGTAGAATTGAATAAAGAAGAGCATGGAATTGATTAATGACCCAGAAAAGCAATGGTAAAAATAAACCTCCCTCTTCTCTTTCTATAAGGAGCAGGCATTTAATATCTATAAGCTATTTTGAAAACATAGAACTGGGCTGGACGGAAGAACCACAGAGTTTCAAGAAATAAAATTAAAAATTCAATATTCATAAAATGCCTGGTCTAAAAGCCATCCTACTGACTCAACTAAAGCTGCTGATCCAGCTCTACAGAGGAATTATTGAGTCTGTCATCTGCACCTCCATAACTGTCTGGTTTGGCTCTGCAACCCAACAAGACAAACACAGACTTCAGAGGATAGTTAGAACTGCGGAAAAAACAATGGCTACCAACCTGCCTTCCATAGAGGACCTGTATACTGCACGAGTCAAAAAGAGGGCTGTGAAAATATCCACAGACCCCTCACATCCTGGACATAAAGTGTTTCAACTCCTTCCCTCAAAACAACGCTATAGAGCACTGCACACCAGAACAACTAGACACAAGAACAGGTTTTTCCCCAAACGCCATCACTTTGCTAAACAAATAATTCCTTAAACACTGTCAAACTATTCACTAAGGCTGCATTACTAGTACTATTAGGCTTCTCACCGTTCCTATCACCCATCTCCTCCCACTTATAACTGCATGACTGTAACTTTGTTGCTTGTATCCTTAAGATTTATATTGATACTGATTGTTTCCTGATTGCTTATTTGTATCCTATGACTATCATTAAGTGTTGTACCTTATGATTCTTGACGAATGTATCTTTTCTTTTTATGCACACTGAGGGCATATGCATCAAAGATAAATTCCTTGTGTGTCCAATCACACTTGGCCAATAAAGAATTCTATTCTATTCTATTCTATTCTATTCTATTCTATTCTATTCTATTCTATTCTATTCTATTCTATTCTATTCTATTCTATTCTAACAAAGAAAGCAATGGGAAAGTAGAGTTACTTCTGCTAAATGAGAGTATAGGTGATTGAATCTGCATTATAAGAAGAGGGGAAGTTCATCTGGACTTGGACTTCTGTGTCTTTCTTTCCCATGTTCTTTCAGGACACTTTCTACCCCATTCTTGGATTTGAGTATCTTGTACAAAGCCAGACCAAAAAAAAGGAGAGGGATGGAAATCAAAACAAGCCAAGAAATTACACAGTTTAATTAGTAGAATAAGAATAAATGAAAAAGAGCTTAGAAATTCAAATAGAAGGAATGCAGGTGCATTACAGGTTGGGTTACTTACACAATATATTGAAGGAAAGGACTCTTGCTGAAGTGGAAGGGCTCATACAGAGCAGATGTTGCAGTGACAAGCACACTAATCAGATGGTCTCCTGGCCTGTAATGATTCCATGGCTTCACCCCACCATGTTGGTCCAAAGTCAGAGGACATTTGTTTCTGAGCTTCTCCACAATTGTCTGGGGCAGCAAGAGTAGCATTAGGAGCAGAAGGAGGAGAGCCATTCCTCCCTGAGTTGAATCTGTCACCACCCTCTCTCTAAATGACAAGAAGAAGAGTTCGAAAAAATTAAAGGGTTCTCTTAACATGGAAACACGGCAGTTTTCCTAATGCAAACAGAGCCCAACAAACTTCGCATGGAAAGGTGAGAAAGATACATTCAACAGTTTAGCCCCTGTCTGTCCCAAAGCTAATACCAAAACCTTCAACCTGACCTAAAGCTTTTATTCTTTTTCTGATGCTAGATCCCTTCCATGTTGCCTGC